AGCCATGTGTGCTCAGCAGCGTGGATTCATCCGATTCTGACTTTACGGAGTTAAGCCTGATCCGATAAAGCCAAAATCGGATGGATAAGCTGAATACTGCTTGAATGGAATATTTTTGGGAAAAGCCGAAAATTGATCAAAAAATGAAAATTTGGTTAAAAACTGGAAATTGGGGAGAAGTCGGGTTTTTGGTGAAAATGCTGCAGGTCTGCGGAGAATTTGAAAAGTTGAGATTTGGTGAAACTTAGGTAATCTCATGGCCATTCGGCGAAAAATTGTGTTTCGAAGAGATCAAAGTTGTTGATCGAAACGTAGTTATATGCTTTTGTTTTTCCATGTGTACATAATATACGTTTCCAGAAAGTTCTATTGGTTCTGAGCAGCTGACTTTTGCACGCGAAGCAGCCATATTTGGTGCTAGAATCGATAGAAACTGGTGGTGAACAAGAACGAAATTGCTTGGTTCGCCTAAATGTACGAGTCTAGTGCTGTCAAATGCCGACTGAGTCAAATTCCACCAGTGCTTTGGTTAGAGCCTACAACCCACTGATCAGTTCGTTTTCAGACGCAATAACGCACCCCCATGCCACCTGCTATTCAACTACTGGCAGTGGGCGGGAGCACATTGATTGGAATTGTTCGATTTACCGAGTTCTTCCCTTCTACTAACCGATTTTCTCTGTGCCCTCCTGTCAAGTGTTTATCAGTTTGTTTACCAGTACAAAATACGGTACCTTTGGTGATGGACTCCTCCAAAGGGCCTTCTTCGGTGAAACGCGCGAGCAGCCATCAAACATGGTTCGTGGAGCCGAAAAGACCCATTCCGAGCTTGAGCTCGGGTTAAGCTGGGATCTTTTGAGCCCGCAGCCATGCGTGCTGGGCAGCATGGATCTGTCCAGATTTGGCTTTACTGCGTTACGCCTAGCCTGGTAAAGCCATAATCGGATGATTAAGCTGAATTTTGGGCGACTGTATAATCTAGAGGGAAAAGCCGAAGTTTGGTGAAAATTTGAAGAATTGGTTGAAAAATCGAAAATTGGTAAGAAAACCAAAAATTGGGGAAAAACCTGAAAATGATGAAAAAGCCGAAATTCCGGTGAAAGGCTGCAACTCGGGGGAGAATTCTGAAAAAGCCGGGATNACCGTATAATCTAGAGGGAAAAGCCGAAGTTTGGTGAAAATTTGAAGAACTGGTTGAAAAATCGAAAATTGGTAAGAAAACCAAAAATTGGGGAAAAACCTGAAAATGATGAAAAAGCCGAAATTCCGGTGAAAGGCTGCAACTCGGGGGAGAATTCTGAAAAAGCCGGGATCTGGTCAAAGCTGGGAAATTTCACGACAGTTTAGCAAAAAATATGCTTCGACGAGATCGTAGTTGTCGGAGTTGTATGCTTTTTTCCATGAAGATGTACGTAGTGTGCGTTTCTGTAGGCTAGTACACCCAGCAAAATCGTTCGATATGTCGCCAGGTAGTTGTGGTGTCGGGGAAAAGGCAGGATGTATATGGGGGAGGTGAGTGATCGATGTCCGAAGCAGATCACCAAAGCGAAAGTAGAATGTTCGATAATGGAGAGTGGGTGATTTCTCAAGTACCATCTATACTCCCAATGAGACGAACCATCAAATCGATATCGATACCTTGGGAGCCCCGTTCTGTTCCCTCAATGGCATGTACTGTGGTGGTTCTTCACCGGATTTTCTGACGTACCCATGTTGCAAATCAATTACTACTGCCTTCCTTGCTTCTTCACTGCCCTTGCAAAAGAAAGTTGCCAAAATCAGGTGGTTCTTTCTAGAAACGCATACTATGCCATATGGATAAGGGGAACATGCCATTCCTGCCTCGACCAACAGCTTTGATATGGACGAAGCATATTTTTCGACAAATGGACATGCAATTCCCGAACGTTCGCCACAACACAGCTTTTCCAGATTCTCCACCAAGTTGCACCAAATTCACCGAAAATTTCGGTTCTTTCACATAGTTTCGGTGTTTTCCCCGGATTACAGCATTTTCACCAATTACCGGCTTTTCCCCCCAGATTTAGGGTTTTTCACCGATTTTCGTCTTTTCCCGCAAATATTCCGATTAGCCGATATTCAGCTAAATCATCCAATTCTGGGCTTCACCACATTAGGCTTAACACGGTAAACAAAAACTGGATTTTTCAGATTCTCCCCCGAATTGCAGCATTTTCACCGAAAATCCGGCTTTTCGCCAGTTTTCAGCTTTCACCCCAAATTTTGGTTTTCTCATCAATTTTCGGTTATTCAACCAATTTCTCACCAAATTTCGGCTTTCCCCAGATTTTCCGATCGGCGAAAACTCAGCTTAATCATTCGATTTTGGCTTCACCCGTCTTGGCTTAACCGGGTAAAGCCAAAATTGGTTGATCCCCATACACGCATGTATGCAGGCTTAAAGGAACCCAGCTTAACCCGAGCTTTTCCTCGGCGCATGGGTCTTTCAGACGCCACAAACCAGGTCGAGGGACCGCTCGCGCGGCACAGGGGAACAGCACTTTGCAGGACCCCATCACCTCAGGTACCGTATCTCGTACTGGTAAACAAACTGATAAACACTTGGCAAGAGGGTCCAGAGAAAACCGTTTGGCAGTAGAGGAATACAACATATCGACCGATTCCAACCAATGCGATCCCGCCCACTGCTGCTCATTGAACGCGGCTCGTATAGAGGTGCGTTACTGTCCTGGAAAAGTGCTGATCGGTCGGTAGTCCCGAATCAGTTGGCATTTGACAGCACTGGACTCATACATTTAAGCAAATCACACAATTTTGTTCCTGTTCACCAACAATTCCTATCGATTCCAGCACCAAGTGGGGGCTATCACGCTTGCAAAATTCAGCTGCTCAGATCCACCAGAACTTTCTAGGAAGGCACCCTTGGTATCTTTTCGCTAAACTGTCGTGAAATTTCCCAGTTTTCGCCAAATCCCAGCTTTCTTAGATTTCTCCCCCGAGTTGCAGCATTTCACCAGAAATTCGGCTTTTTCATCATTTTTCAGCTTTCTCCCCAAATTTTGATTTTCTCACTATTTTTCGGTCTTCCAACCAATTTTTCATTTTTTCACCAAATTTCGGCTTTTTCCACAGATTTTCCGGTCATTCAAAATCCTGCTTAATCATTTGATTTTTGCTTTACCGAGCTAGGCTTACCGCGGTTGAGCCAAAAGCAGATAAATCCATCCTGTCATGCACAGACAACAGCGGCTTCAAGGAGTGCAGCTTACCCCGAGCTTTTGCTTTGAAAGGGTCTTTTCGCCATCTTGAACGATGTCATGCCGCAGCCCGCGCGATTCACTGAGAACAGCCCTCTAGAAGACTCCATCACCACAGGTACCGTATTTCATACTGGTAAACAAACTGATAAACACTTGGCAAGGGGGTACAGAGAAAACAGTTTAGCAGGTCATTGAACAACAGGTCATGGGGGTGCGTTATTGCTCTGAAAACGTACTGATCAGTGGGTAATCTACCCGAAGCACTGACGCAACTTGACTTCGTCGGGAATGGTGTACGAGAGTCTCCAAAGTCCTTTCTTTTGACGATTCCAGCAATTTCGGCCTTCCTCAAGACCGATTTTTACCGATTTTATCACAAAGTTTGGCTATCGCGAAACCAATCCTAGGCTTCATTATCACCGATTTGCAGTTCTCCATTTCAGGCCTCGGGATTTCCATCTTTACGATAGTGTGTTTAAACACAAAAGACTTTTTCACCCCGAGTTCTAGACGTTAACTTTTTTTGCCGCGTAATGATCAGATTTATCTTTTTCGCAGCCTTTTTTAGGCTATCTTCCCACTAAATCTGGCTAATCCTCTTCCAATTTTCTGATATTTTACCTCAAGATCTCGCTTTTCTATTACAAACGTGGCTACTTTTCTACTAATTTCTGGTCACTTCACGGGGCAAATCAAGCTCTTTGCTCGAGATTTAAGGTTATTTTTTCACGAAACGGGGCTTCTTCATAACAATTTTTGGCTATTTCTCCACCAAATTCAGCTTTTCTAACGCATATTTCATGCTTTTCCAACATAAACGTCAGGCTTTTTCAACACGAATTTCAGGCTCTTTAAATACAAATTTCGAGCTTTTTCATCAACCCACCTCTTTTGATTTGCAGCTTTTCCATCAATTTTGTACTCTTTTCTCTTTTTCTTTTTTAACTTCTCTGAAATCCAGGTTTCCCATCGATTCCCAGCTTTTCCACCTATTTCAAGCTTCTTGGCAGGCTCTCAGCTTTTTTAACATTTTTCAGCTTCTTCTTCAAACTTCAGCTTTTCACCAATTTCTGAGTTTTCAATAAGGTCAATTTTTAGCTAATTTGCAGCTTTCCAATCATTTCACAGCTGCTCCGATTTTCAGCTTCTCCGAATTCATTTTTGCTTTCTCCTCGGCATTTTGGCAAAATTCAGCTTTTCCAAATTTCTTCACGAAGTTTTTGAAATAGGAAGGGGGCCTGCACAAAAGTACAGAGAGCATCCCTGAAGGAATGCAAAAAAAGCGTGTGGGCTGACTAGCACTAACCACGCTGGTGACAAAATTGACAGATCGGCGGTAGTATTTCGAGTAAGCTGGTGGTCGGGCGGTCTGTTCGAGCTTTTCCAGGTGGGCGGGGCCTGGGCTCTCCGGCTGAGTCCAGTAATATGGAGTGTGGACTCGGCCGTCGAGCCGAGGTCCTCAATTGCGCCCACCCGTTATG